CTCGGTGTTTTCAGGACACACCTGCGGGGCGATTGATAGAGAGTCAAACGCTGAGGTCAAGGTCTGCTGCTGCGCTCATATTGTTGTCCTGTTGGACTGTGACACTGAATCACCACAGCTGTTAAAGGTCTAGATTAGTCACTTGAGGGCTTTACTCGCAATCACTCCCCGACATGCCTTAAAGGTGTCTGAACCATAATATCATAAAGTGGTCTGTGTGGGAGCATTTTTTTTTTTCAGGTGCTGCCCCTCCCCGGAGCAGAATTGAGATTGCCTGTGTCAGCCCATGTGATTGTTTTGGCAACAGAGCTGAAGAGCACACACAGTCTGTGGACAGCCAAAAGCAAACTGAGGCAGAATGTGAAGCTCCCCGTTTGCTTTTATGTCTCACAGGCTGAAAGGGAGCTAGCAGGCTGTCTGTGGGAGCGAACACGCACTCACCTGAAGCAGATGGAGCTTCCGGACTTAAATGGATCTCTCCTGTTTCCCCATCAGAGAGGGGGAGGGGTCCTTTAGAGATAAGGTTATCTGAATGTTCGAAGCATTTATTACTGCCTTTATCAAAAATGTCCTTATCGTTCATGCTGGGAGTTGGGTGGACCCAAAAAAGGACGATGAAATTATATTCAAAACGAATGACGGGGCGAACAGGAATCTCTGTATGCTATTTTAAATGGATGACTTTTAGCCAAATCTGAATCATATGCCGGGAAAGTCGAGTCATGCAGTCTGATGGACATAAATATTACTTTAAGGGGAGCTAGCGCAGCACCCAAACCACAATTTTGAGAGCCGAGTCAGATTTAGCTGTTTAATAAGAAGATTTGACTCTTTGTTCCTTTTTTTTTTCACTTCACACACCCCTATAAGAGTCGGATGTTTTACCTGTAAGACGCATGTATCAGAGTTTCTCATAAGCCCTGCTGCCAGTCACACTTAAATGTTTGCAATGATGGACTCACTCTTTTATGCACCCATCTAATAAAATACATATGCAAAGTCTTTCTCTATTTTTTAAAGATCCCATATTATCCTAATTTTCACCTTCCGTGTTGTCAGTCTGTAAAACATATACAGAAGCTTTACAAGATTTGCAGCTCAGAAAAACAAAATTTTTTAATCTTGTACTGTCATCCATAAAAACCATCATTGCAGCCTCGTTGCAGCCTCTGCCTTGTTTCAGCTGCTGTCTCTTTAAGACCTCCCTCCCCACATGCCCACTTTCTTCTGATTGGCCAGCTCCCTGGAAGCCTTCCAGAGGCAGAACACTGTAGGGCTGCCAGTGGAGGGCTGCTACCCGGTGCTAGGAGAAGAGTGTCTGAGTCAGAGGTTTTAACAGCTAACGTCGAAGCTTGAAGCAGTATCGTAAAATTATTGGTTTCATATCGTTGAACTACAGCGTGATTTACAGAACAAGCAGAATAGCAGACTTATCCTCATATCATTGCTCCTACATACATTTACCTCATAAGCGGAAACTTTGTCCCCGTTAAGTATGGAAATCCTGCATTGCTACATTATACGTGAGCTTAAAAATGGGGATAATAATAGGTCAACTTTAGTAATGTTTTTAAGGATGTGAAGGGTTTGGGTTAGCCAGCTTTGCAGCTGCTCAGCTCCCAGCCCCCCCAAGATGAATGGAGACACTGACTTACTGAAGACTGACTTTAAAACAATTCCAGCAGACAACTTTTATACTGCTTTTTTAAGTCCATTTACCATTATTATTGTTTTAAAGGTCCCATATCATGCTTTTTCTGGTTTTATATGCCCTTTAGTGTGTTTTCTAAGTGTCCTGTGCATGTTTAGGCACATCTATGTGCAAAAATTCAAAGTCCGCTTCTCCTACGTCCTCCTGTTAGCTGTAGCATTAGCTGCATGTAACGCTCGGTTCTAGCCCCCCTCGATAAAAATTTGTCAGTCCGACGTCATTGTCAGTGTGAGATCACTGATCTAAGCCCATTGGCTCGTTGTGGCAAGCCCTGCAGCTCATGTTGAAATTTCCGAGACACGTGCTGAGCAACTGACCAATAACGACAGGGCGGATCGGCAGACCAATCAGAGCAGACTTGGCCCACGTGGGGTCTAACAGTGTGGGCTCAGCAGAGCGTAGCTGACGGACTCAGAGCGTAGAGGGAGCAAGGAGGAGCAGTACATGAAAACAGACACCTTTTTCAGACTTTAGCTATTGTGAACGTACAAAAGTAGGAACATAGATTAAATATACAAACCCCAAAAAGGGCAGAATATGGGCTCTTTAATTGTCATAAACAGGATGAAGCATTCTAGTCGGCTTATTTACTTAAGTTAGCCACAGCTCGGCTCTCGACTCCGTTAACTTCAAGAAACACAGATTTTCATTCAGTGTTTTTACAGGGGCTGCACAAGTCATTGCAATTTCATCGTTATTATGAGCTTTCACAATAAACATTTGTTGCAATAAAAAATATAAATTGTTAACAAGCAATGCTTTCTCACTCTTCATGTGTTCATTTGACCTATTAGATAGTAGAAATGAGTACTCTTTGTTGCCAAGCTAATGGCCTTAGTACATGCCAGCATGAGGGCTAACAACAGCTAAGAGAGCTGATGGATGTATGAGGAAACGCAGCAGAGTGGGGGCTGATTTGAAATGTGTCGACAAAGTGGCTGTTACTATACAGACTAGTGGATATTTCCCACAGAGTCACGTTACCATCTCTGGTCAGAACTGGGATTTCAGGACCACTTTCCGATGGACAGATGATCGGCACAACACAGAATACATAGGGGACAACAGGAATGTCCGTGCCCGATGTATTTTTGTGAAATATACTTAATTTACCAGTAATCAATTACTCATTACAAAAAAAACGAGTACCAGAATAATGAAATGACTGAGAATCCCAATCCCTATTGGGCCTGAGTATAACGTTGATGCTAAACTATCAGCTACCCTCAGAGTAATTGGTGCCAACTTTGCACATTTATTTCCTAAATTGTTAAATAAATAATTGTTCATTCTTAATTATGTCTCTCCTGATTGAAATGGATTTAGGAGTGACATGTGGTAAAACAGGTTTTACTGAAAACTTGAAGAACAGCAGACAGAAACACAGAAACTGTGATTAATATCTGATAGGCACTCTCTAATATTTGTTTATTTTTTTCAATTCATATCTGTATCGCAAAACTGATTGCAGTAATCACACTTTGCATATTTTCTCATATCGTGCAGGTCAAGAGAAGTTAGTGGATATTTCAGCAACTGGCTAAAACCTTTGAAATGATAAACAGGAAAGAAGTGTTGCCTAAAGAAGCTGAGCTCCTATAAACAAGCTGCTAGCAAATCAGCTGTTGGCTCCTCTTGCTACTGGCTGCTTCTGAATTGTGAAGTGCCAATACTCAATCTGACAGTAAACAGTATATCTGTGCTGTATACTGTTAGGATATACTGTTCAGTAGGTCCATATTTGTTCCTACTTCGTCTGATTCATTCAGAGTGGATGTGACATCATCAGCCCGTCTCATGTTATTGACACTCCAACTTAGATGTGATATGCATGAAGGTTCAGAAAATAATACAAAACTCCACATTGTATGTAAACAATTTAACAACTTAACATTTGAAAGGTGTGTTGTCTTTCGATCGTTTGATTTCGCACAGCATTGTGGGTGTTAAAATACAATTCATTTCCTTAAAGGGTGCATCCAAACCAGACTGTACAAAACCTAACAGTTTACTGTTGCACAAAGGTTAGCATCCATCCTGAAATGTTCAGTCTACTGAGGTGGACCCAAGAAATGCCCACTGACTGGGTTCAGTCTACTGAAAAGTCTGCCCTCCATCCTGAACTGTGGCCTCTGTTTCTCCAACAATGTGTAAGACTGTTTTTTTTAACAGGAAACTGCTTTATTGCGTGTTTTTTTTTTCATTTTTTAAATCAGAGGGTTTAGTTGTTTTGAAGAGGTGGAGACCTTGCCAAATAACTGAACTCCTGATTCAAAAAATAAATAAACATGCAGAAAATCTGACGGCCATTTTTGACTCTCATTTTGAAAGTTTCCATTGGTCGTGCTGTGGCTTCTCGATTAATCTGGCCTTAATGCATTTTAAGATCAAGGGTGCAGAGGTTCACCTGATGTGAGGTGAAACTTTTAGGGGGAAGCCCTAGAAGGAAACATGCAAAACTTCTTTCAAGAACGACCTCTGTCTAAGTATCTTATGAAACATCACGACAAATCATAATGTGTAAAAAAAAAAAAAAAAAAATGATGCTCCCCTCAAGATCCGGCTGTTAAGATTTTTTTTTACCTGAATTAATCATTTGCAACGTCTCATTCCTTAAAAGACTTTAAAAAAAAAAAAACATGCAGCTGCACAGTGCCCCAATTTTCAAATCAGAGAGATGGCAGGAGGAAAAGTAGGCTGCCTGTTACAGTAGAGCTATCAGTGGAAGTAGGAGTTAAATACATTGCTAGAGAGAGTGTCTGTCTGCTAATGTTGCCGCAGCCATAACGGGATTATTCTTCCCTGGAAGACATAATCATGTGTAACACACTTGTTTCAAAACGCTGTGAAAAACAAACAGGTGTTTCAGCTATAATTCCCACCTCTTCATCCTCTGGCACACATTCACCAGAACCCCCAGAAACACACCCGCTTTCTCTCTCATTTCCTCATTAGTCATTAAGACGTGCTGGAAATGAGTATTCCGTTTCTTTATCAATGAAGGAATGAGGGAGATATTTTTAAAAGTAGGGCACAAAATATGGGGAATGAATGCACTTTATGATGACAACCCCCACAGGAGAGAGGGAAACAGCAGGAGTGTGCTGATGAAAATGTTTCACATTGATGAATGTAATGAATGAATGTCACCTTGGTGTAGGCTATTATAAGCCAACTTTTTTGTATCGGTTTGAAAACTTAAAATAAATGAAGTGAGTGTTTAAATGTTATTTAGTGTATCATAATTGCAAACCTAGAAACGCATAAAAAATAGGTCTTTTTTACTCACGGGAGAGCCCCCACAGGAAGGTAAAAGAGAGCAAAGTAAGTTTCCTCGAAGTGGTATAGACCTCCATGGTTGATGTTTCCACTTCTCAGCGTGTTAATGTCCTTGTCCCTGCTTTATATATGAGCTCTGTGTCGCCTCAGGCTAAAAGCTCTTCAAGTCTGTCAGGTGGTTTTCCGTCAGAGAGCCGGTGAAGGTAAGGGACACTTCAGGTGAGGGGGGATGTGGACGCCGTCTGATCCCGCAGCCACAGGAATCTCTCTCTTTTTTTCCCACTTTGCGGTCAAAGTGAAGTGTGAATGATATCAACAGCTCCGACGCTGACGCTCCTCCAACACTCTTCTTCGTCTCCTGTTAACGCTCGGCTGCGTTGTCCTTACCCAGACGGCCGCGGGAAGCCGACAAGTCCGCAAGTTGTCATCCTGTGTCCTTTTTTTCTGAGAGAGAGAGAGAGAGATAGAGAGAGAGAGAGAGAGAGAGAGAGAGAGAGAGAGAGAGAGAGAGAGAGAGAGAGAGAGAGAGAGAGAGAGAGAGAGACCCCACGAGCGAGCTTGTGCACGTAATACCTTATTCTAGCACAAGTTCCGGTTTTAGGCTTCATAATAAATCGCATTATTTACGTCAACCATATTTCATGAACGCTTTGAGTGACCGTCTGCTCTTATTTTGAAACCAGATGTGATGACATCCGCTAAATCCCCGCTCGTTTTTTTACAACTTGACTCGTACACCTGTGCTGGTTAACAGCGGTTTGTGCAGGTGCCGAAACAAGGCTATGATGACATAATCAATTTGGGATGAAATTCTGAATGAAATCCAGAAAATGACTATGAGCAGATTGAGGGGAAATTGGGGACGGTTGTAACAGTCTTTATTATGTCTTTGAAAAGTGTAATTCAGCCTATAACTCTAATATAAAGATGATCACATATGTCACATATCGTTTTATATCAATTAAAAGAGTAAGAAGCCTGGCGATAGGCGCAACATAAATCAAGGATGGTTTCAACATGCCAGAAATAAAAAATAAACAAATATACATACTGTATTATATGTATTTTATGAAATAGCTGTTATCAAGATTTGCCTGATTTTTTATTTGTATTTTTCCAGATTCTCTTTATTAGAGAGAAAGGACAGATGATAGAGTCAGAAATCGGGGGGAGAGACTGGGGAATGAAATGCAGGAAAGGAGCCACAGGTTGGATAATAACCCGGGCTGTCCACTTTGAGGACTACAGCTTCTGTACATGGGGCGAGCGGACCAACCACTAGGCCACCAGCGCCCTAGCTTTGTTTGTGTTTGTGTATAGAATGTAGTCCTATCGAGTCAGTGTGCAGAGTTTACAAATGCTGTTCAATATTTCTTTGTTTTGGTGTTCGAGAGGAAAATGTAACAATTTCCTATCCTTTCTTTCATTCGTTATCATTACCACTTATCACGTGTGGGGATGCAGGGGGCTACAGACAATCCCAGCTGTCATTGGACGAGAAGCAGGGTACACCTGGACAGGTTGCCTTTCAACCACAGGGCTGACAATGAGACAACCACACACAGTCACACTCACACCTACAGTCAATTAAGAGTCAGGTCTTTGGAGTGCAGAAGGAGGTCTGAGTACCCGGAGCGAACCGACACATGTACAGGGAGAGCATGCAAACTCTACACCAAGAGATTCCCCTATTGTTGAACCCATTGTTGTGAGGTGAACCAGCACATCATCACTGTGCAGCCTTCAAAACTACTTACCATATTTAGCATTATAAGTCAAAGAAAAACATGTGCGTGTGAGTTATACAGCAAATCTTTTGTGAATGAAAGAGGAATATGTGAGAAAAATCATAGTCAAAATGCTTTTAATTTGAACTAAACTGACCTAAAAGAATGTCCCATCAACCCTGTCTCAGTTCAAATGTGTCACAGCTGACCTCTAATAACCTCCCTTTGCCTTTTAAAATGAATGCAAGGGGAATAAAATCATCGTTAAATTCTAGGCAGGCATCCTCGTGTGCGACTTGCCAGTTTTCAACAACCCCAGCTCAAGCTTTTTCAACAATAAGCCTATTTCCAAACCCACACAACAAAGCTCCATCCTTCTCCCCAGCCTCCCTCTCAAATCTTCAGCTGCTGCTCTTTCATGTGTGAAGAGGTGTGGGTCTGAAAGCAGAAGCAGACCGGACTCAGCTTGACATGAATTCCCCAGGTGAGCTCACCCCCCCTGATGTAGAAATATAGACTGACCTGCGCTCCGAGGTGCTCAGGCCCCTTTATTTCACTTTCTGAGGTTGCCCAGTTGCCTCAGCAACAGGGGTGAGGCTAATGCAGGAGGACTGCTCAATTATGAGAGGTGAACGAGGGTTACTCCTGTGATTCAATCCAAAGCAGCAGGGTTCCAGCCTTATGGGGATGGGATTTTTGTTGTGTTGTTTGAAATTGCATCTGTCCCTCCAGCTGGAAGCAGCAGCATGCAGGGGGAAGCTGTCAAAACAGGCCTGTTTTTTATTTTCTGCAGAAATAATTTGAGCGGGGCACAGAGGCTAATACTGGATTCTGGACGAGATGGCTAATCCAAACAGACCAAAACAAAGTCTGCAAAAAAAAAAAAAAATGATGAGCAAACCTGACACCTGGAGGACAAACAGACCCCTCCTGCTAATTCCTCACACACCTCATTACACATTCAAGATTTGTCTTTTTTTCTAATAAAATCTAAATCAAAAGAAAAGATGAAATTCAACAGAAAAAGTGTGAACTATCAGCAGTGTGTGACATGTTTCCTTCTAATCCTGTAATGTGTCATTATCTTGGGTAGTTGGGATGGCAGCTACATTTGCATGAGCCCAGGAAGGAAGGAAGCAAATTACATAACAATTTAAAGGAGTAAAATTAGGAACATTCACTGCTGTGCAAAAAAAACTTGTCATATCCACATGTGGTTATCCTGTTATAGTGAGAATAATGTTGAATCTATGTGACAAATAAAAGTGTATTACAAAAGCAATTTTGCCAACAAACCTGTGTTTATCTCTCCATATAAAACATCACATCTGTCACACAAACAGCTCCTATAAGCACTCATAGGTGCATCATAGTAGAGCACAATATACTGTACACACACACACACACACACACACACACACACACACACACACACACACACACACACACACACACACACACACACACACACACACACACACAGCATAACTACACGTATCTATATAGCAGAATTTGAGCATCAATATTCATATAAACCTGAGACATTTAGTCTTGTCTATAACGTTAAAACTATTTCTCAAACAGCTGTTGTCAAACATGCACTCCTGAAAATTTCAGCACAGTCCACCCTTGAAATCCTCCTGAGTTGCTTGTTAACGCGTCCCTTACAGCGTGAAGTATTGTCGGACAAGAAGGGGTTCTCTGGAGGCAAGACATGATGTGAAAAAGATACTGGTGGAATCCAAGATGGCAGACAATCTGCCAGAGTCCAACATGATGATGAGAATTTTTTGCCTTTATATCAATGCCACATGTAATTGCACATATTCACAATATCAATGAAGCAGTAAAAGGAACATGCATGCAAGCAGAAAAACAACTTCAATACATGCACAAATATCACACTGTCACCTAGGTCGCGGGATAAAAGCCTCATTAACCTCCCTATATCTGTGAATTTTTCAGACTTTTACTTGCTGCACTGACACATCAGGTCACCCAGAGGAGCTGCTGGTCAATAGGCATGGCAGCAACTGCTTGAGGCCTCACAAAGTGCTAATTTTGCAATGACAGTGGGAGATTTTCTCAGACAGCACTCACTCTCATTGCCCTGCTAAGCTTCAAATGCATTATTCCTGTGAAATCAAAAGTTTTTAATTGAAAGTCACCAAAGAAAAATGAAGAGGAAATGATCCTTCTATAGGAGAGAAAAAAAGAAACAGGAGAAAAGAGGAAGAGGAGTAAGCACGGCGACACTGGCAGACATAATGTTGATGAACACTGGTTGGAGGGCCCCCCAATTGATTTTATGCCCCCACAGACTCTAGAATTGCCACTGAGGTCACCCTGACTTGACATGCGGAAAGAGGCTGGTGGAAAAAAATCCCAGTATGTGTGTTCATTTGCATTCACTCATGCAGCTCACCTCGAAAAACTTCTGGAATTTCTCAGGAGTTTGAGCACGTTGTGAAAACACAAGCAAATAAAAGATGATTCTTATTGATGAAATAAAATATACTCATGTTATTGTCTTACAAAGAGACAACTTTAACAGCGTTGTCCTGAGCTGAGATTGGTATCCCTAAACCTTTTCTTAAAAGAAAAACAAGTTTAATAATTTCAGAGTCATCACTGTTAGCTAATTCCTGTTTTTAAAAGTAAAACTGTGGACTTCTGCAGTCTTAATGATTTCACCATAGGTTGCTTAAGTATTATTCACAGCATCATTATACTTGAGAGCTTCTGCAAGTCTGCGTTCCTGTTCTTTGAGAAGTGTGCAGGATAGAGAAATGTACAAAATGCTCTGCAGAGAGTCATCTCTCCTCCAACTGTTCAAACACTGAGCTCACATAGAAGAATGTTTGCTTGTGCATACATTTTCCATAATTTCCTGTCATCGTTAACACTGTGCCGTTGGTTCAGACACCAAAATGATATCAAGTCATCAACATTTAAAGTTTTTTGTTTTTTTGCGGCTAGTTTCTTGTATTCATAGAAAGTTTTACATTGATGAACAGTGCTGCATTCTCATTCCCGGTGCACTTATAACAAAGGGTTTATGGTGCAGGAACACATGAATATGTATTTCACAGTGTTTGCTTTTTCCAATTCGAGACAACTTAAGACCGGCTCTCCCTGCAGACTGCAGAGAAGTTTGAGCGCTGATGTGCAGAGGATTTTCTGTGAATGCTTTGTTATTCATCAGACGCTCTGTACTCTGCAGCTGGAGCAGAATAAAGACTCATTTTACTGCAAATACATCGGATTCATGCGTCACCTGTGTGATGGCATTTCTGTATTTCTATGATTGAATGAATTTCTTTGGACTTTTATAAACAATGTGGAAGTGAATGAATCCTTTGATAAATTATAAGAATAAAGCAGATGAAAAAAACAGAATGAGGAGCAAAATGTGAGAACCTATTGTCTTCCTGATCAGATTATCTCAGATTATAGCCTGTAGGGTATGTAGACATAACCTTCATAGTATTATTGGCTTATGGTTGTCATCATCAGTGTCCTAGATATTTATCCCAGCACGTTTTATATCAGGATTTATCACATTTATATCTTGTAGGATTCCCGTCTATCGTTTTCACTGGAAAATAATTTAAAAAATGATTTTATTTATAGTCTCTGGTAAATCAGGATAAAACAAAATCTGTTAAGAGAAAATGACTCAACATATAATTCAGTGGACTCCTTCTCTCAGGCAGGATCCAGAAAGAAAGAAAGTACTGGAGTACACAGATCACTTCAGGAAGATGCATTTAGGTGTACAGGACGTTTCCACTCATCTCAGAGTCAAACAGGACAAGTACAGATTTAAAAAAGCTAAATACACTGCTGCTCACAGTGAGACATCACTCACTGGTTAATGAAAGTGGGAGGTAAGAAGGAGTTAACTGGTACTGTGACATCACTCATGTGTTACCCAATCATATTACATCCCATCACAAATGTTATAACATTTACATTATAGACAGTTTTTACTAGAGGTGGGGAAAAAAATTGATTCTTATCTTCTGACATTTTAAATAGATTCCTAACTTTTCTTAGGTAGGGGGGTAATCAGTCACTCCCTGCTAAGTGCTAATGCTAGCTCTTTAACTCAGTAGAATGCCAAATGGAGCAACAAAAAATTCAGTCAGTCTCACAGATGACTGGAGTAGATCCTGAAGTATGTACTAGTTCAAAAATAGACTTTGAATCAAGAATCCAGAATTGTTTTGAAATCAAAAATAGATTCTCAATCGAATCGTGACCCCAAGAATCAGAATCGAATCGAGAGACACCCAAAGATTCCTAGCCCTATGATTTACACATAATCTAATTATCTATAGAGAGAAAGCCGAAGACAATATAAACAACATTACAACAACACAAGAGACTTAGTTCTTCATTTAGTCCATAAGGTTCAACTGTGCTGAGTGTATGAAATGCCTCTCTTTTCTGCAGTTTGTTAACAATGACTCCTCTTCTCTGGGAGGGAGGTAGGGAGATGCAGCAGAATCTGGAAAATAACACAATTTAGTTCTTTGATGACAAAACACTGATGATGATGATTCAGATGTATACTAAAGGAAGATTCCTGTGGTGTTTCCAGCGAATTAAATTGCATGAATTCATTGTGAAAAAAAGCAAAAAGGCTTATCAAATATACAACAGCAAAGGCATAATGAAATATTAACTTTCATTGTGTATGTGTAATGTCTGCCATCGAGTCAGGAATATTTAACACCTGCTATGTAAATAAAATAGTGAACAGCAAAATGTTGCATGAATATTTAATTGCATGAGCTTTAATCGTAACAAAAGAGCAGTCAGTGTATATGTTGGTGTATTGTCTGCTGTGTAACATCTTTGTAAACATCTGTTTTTTTATACAGTGTAACATGTTGTTGTTTTTTAACTCTACCTGTTATGATACTGTCTCCAGATTTAGATAAAAACAGGATATTTATTCTTGTTCCAAAGGACTGCTCTCTGAAAGGTCAGTGATTTTGTCTCTCTGCACTCACAGAACATGCACAGTGTCATGAGTGTCATCCCATCCTTTTTCTCCCTCAGAGGCTCCTTTGAGTTATTACTCAGCTCCACATCCAACACATTTTATTCTTTTGATTCTTTTTTACATATTAAAGCCTTTTGAATACATATATATTATTTCAAAGTGACAGGTGATGGAAGTCATTTTACCCCTCATCATTTGTGGATTTTCAGCAATAGCTCTCTGTGGCCATCTTGTGGCCAAATAGAGGAATTACATCTTCTAAGTCTTAGTAAACACTCTTTCAGATACTGCAACTACATCACACAAAGATTCAGCATCCCACCCTTTAAAATATCAATTTTATTCTACAAAGAGAAACCAAAACAAATGTGCTCCTCCTTTGTTGTTCAGCAACATTTTATTATAAAAACTATAATGATTGTTGTTTTCCTCCTTCATCTTCAATCAATCAGTCAATCAATCAAATCTTTGTTTATTCTCAAAAGATATTGAGGTTTCCCTCATTTACAATGCCATCGAGATTACAAATACAGTAAAACAAGCAAAAACAACAACAACTAACACAATCAATAACAACTTCCAGTCAAGCTGCAGTTCCCAAAGATGAATATTATTACTAAGGCTGGCACAGATATGACAAATGATGAATTTGCCTTAAGACTAAATAACAGCACAAGTAGACCTGCATGAAACAGGAGAGGTCAGAACAAAACCTTTTACATCTCTCTGCTGTTCTATCCCTCTCTTTTCTTTAAGTCTGACAGTCTGATAGTTATTCAAATTAAAAAAATGTGTCTTTATTTGCATATAGAGCTGAGATGATTCAGTTGTAATTGTTATGCCAGGCATTAACAAATGTACTTGTACTCACATATCAGTTGTGGATGAAGTTGATCTCTAGGATGGATTTGAGGTCACAGTGACCTCGACCTTTGAACAACACCAACATGTAATCAGTTTCTGATTCCCGAGTGGAGGTTTGTGTCAATCTGACATCAAAGATATTACTGCTAAGATTTTTCTGAGACATGGAGTTCACAAATATGATAGTTGACGCACATTTCTATGTTGGGTTGGTTTATCAAGTGTGGCTTGTTGGCTTGAGTCCAAAAACAAACTAACAAACACATAATCTACCAGTTGGATATGCCATTCCTTTTAAATAGTCGACATAATAAAGACTTGTGAATAAAAGAAAAGAAATGCTTGATTCTTGCCTCAGTAATCAACTTTCACCACGGTATGCCATGCTCAAAAACCATTGGCCTTCCTTGTGCTCAACACCGGCTGCTAATCAGGATCATTTAAATAAACATTGGCTCCCTCGCTTTACAGTGCCACCCAGTGGTCAGCCAAAAAACAAAACACCCAAAAATGGCTCCAACAATGATTCATAAAAACAATGTCTTGGATTATGTCTGCGTGCTGAGGAATGAAACACACAGACAAACAGAAGAAAATATTATTCCTGTGTTCAAAATTTAGTATTTTTCTTTAAAAAGAATTGCAGGTACCCTAGTGTGTGTGCACTGCAGTGCCTTAATCACTGATTGATACTTTACATATATCTGTCAGAGTCAGAAGGGCATCAGTGTTCTCTCTCAGTGGCTCAGTTAATGAGAAGTATGAGAAGTCGCTTCATAGACTGAAGTAAATCAAAGCCTGGGCTATTATTAGAAGTTATAAGGTATATGTTTATGTTCTATGATGTATATTATGCAAATCTAAAACATTCAGCAGTATGGGTTTTACATGTTAGCATCTTAACATCTGGATTTTTCTGCATTAAAATCCAGAGGATCACTTATGTGATGACAGTTCATCATGAGCTAGACATGAATATCTACAAGCATCCATGGAAATCTATCCAACGTCCAACCATCTTTACAGCTTATTTGTTGTGTAATTTCTGTCAAAACTCAAAGTAATATCTTACTGGGGCTACCAGAGGCTTGGCAGTGATTTTCAACGTCGGGGTCCCGACCCCTGTGGGGGTCACCAGATAATTTGTGGGGGTCATCAGAAGATTGTGGAAAAGAGAAAAAAATACATAAATAAATAATTCACATATTTTTGACTTGGTGATGGTTTTAAACATTACAACGCCTGTACCAGTGATATAGTTTGTCTTATGAGAATGTTTTATGGAGCTGTTAGGAGGCTGTTATAGGCTGTCTGTGTGCTGGCTGCGTGACGGCTCCTGCACATACTGCATGCCTGCTGTGTGAGTGACTGCTGTCAGCCCTGTCTTTCTTTTTAAGTCATGCCATAAATAAGGCCATTAACTATGGTTTATAAACATTTCTGGGCTTTATAAATGTCATGAGAATCGACTTCATATGGGGCCGGTTGGGTAGCCAACACCAAAGCTTTTATAATGCGGGGTCGTGACTCAGAAAGGTTAAGAACCACAGCTCTATGGTGCATGAAGGTCTTTCATGAGACTTCATGGTAGGAAATCTGGGCAACAAAAACACAAACACACACAAACACATTTTCACCGCTTGGCAAATGTCAGTGAGTTTCCAATTTATTGTTTTTCAAACATGTAAACATACGAGACAGTGACTTCTCAAACAATCACAAACAAGACAAAGTGCCAACCAATAAAATATAAAATATTTCATATTTATCTTTATATACGGTTTACCCCAAAACAAATGAACATCGCAAGTTTGCAAAAGCCGGAATGCTCGAGAACATTGATAGTCTAAATATATTTTATACTTATATATATATATATATATAAGGTAGATTTCATGTACATAGATTCAATATGGACTCATCCATCATGTGATTCACCACAGCGCGGTCCTTTCCTGGCACATTGCACATAACCTCAGGATTCAAGTTGAAGAGTTTGATTGTTGGTCAGTGATGAGGTCACCTCTGCAGCGTATAGGATTACCTTTACAAGTCATACAACAGTGCTCATTGTTACGTCTGTTAGCATGTAGGTTAGTGGCACGATTATGTGTTATCTACACTACTGGTGCATTTAAATACCAGTTTTTTAGTAAGGAGCTGCTAAGACTTCAACACTGTTTCTGGGATGTCAGAGTACCCACAATCCCACAGCTGCAGCTAGAGATGCTTCAAATGGCTGGATCAACACACTGAAGCCCCTTTTAAACTACAGGAACTTTCCCCCAGAAGTTGGGGCATTTTGAGGAAATAAGTATACTTCACTCCAATCTTAACTTAATGGGTGCACATGTTGTTACCATGGCATGAGATAAAAACAAAATTCTTAATGATCTGGCAGTAAAAGGTGTTTCCAACTCAAAACTCTGTCACTCAAATAAATAAAGGCTGTCCAATACAAATATTAGACTTTTCCTTCCTTTGTTTCCAGTACAGCACTACACCAAAGTCTTAAATCAGCCTGCATGAGTCACAGGTTTAACATGAAATAAGCATGTTGTGCTGGACAGAATGGGTAAGTCCCATTCCCTTCTCTTGAACTGGCACAATTTTTCAGATAAGGGATTTTATTAAACTTGTGAGCGTTTGTGTACTGCAGCTCAGCTTGCAGCCCTGAGGCCTAGCCCATGAGCATCAAAGACTAATTGTTTTTGAACCTGAATCTACTTTATTCAATGTTTTTATTTATTTCCCATCATAGGGTACTTTTTTTTGGGAAAGACGGGAACCTATAACTTAAAATGCTAGATAAGCACCTACAAATACGCTAGCGGCAGCTCAGCTGGCAGCCCCTGAAGCCTCGCCAAAGAGCATCAAGGAGATGCTGTTTTTTTTAATCTGAATCTTCTTTATCCCATGTTTTTATTTATTTCTCCATCACAGGGTACCTTTTTTGGGAAAGGCAGAGCCCTCTAACCTATAATGCAATATACGCCCCTACAAATAAGCTAGTGGCCGTTCAGCTGGCAGCCCCTAGAGCCTCGACAAAGAGCATCAAGGAGATGCTGCTTCATTAAGTGTTTTTACTTAATTTTCATCGAAGGCTCTGTTTGTTTTAAAGAAAAAAGCACTGAAGGAATTCTAAGCAAAAAAACAAGATGAGCTCCTACGAATTAGCTAGCTGCAGCTCAGCTTGCAGCCCCTCCTGACATTATGTGTCATCTGAAAGAAAGTGCTGTAGAATTTGTTATCTTTAATGTGAAACTGCTTTGTTCAGGGTTCCAGTTTTCCCCTGGTGCTAATGTGAAGGTGTGTTTGAGAGGAGAGAGGTAAGAGGGGAATTCTGTGTACAATGGCACAGTGAAAAATGCCAAGTCTAGATATTCAACTGACAAAAAAATACATTTAACACCCCTGGATTAACAGGTGTCCATGCTGGCCAATATGATCTGGCTAACTTTGACAAACACTGGTCTTTTCTTTATCCCCCTTGTTTGCATGGAAGCATCTCTAGCTGCAGTCCAGTTACATGTGCAAATCATAAGGCATAAATCTGCTGTTTCTCCTTGAAGACTTGTGAATTCAGGTCCAGTAGTAAGTAAAAGGCAGTTTCAGAATTAAATACACACTATGTTCCCCCCCTCGCTGCCTTGTTCGCTACATCCTACTGAGGTAGACAGACGCATACTGCAGTAGTCACCTTACCGACCCTAACATTCCCTGATGAGGCAACATTGATCTACACTAAAAAAGCAGCAAGTTCCTTTGTAGTGCACATTAGCCCAAAATAATACGTATATACTTCCTGGAGGTTGCAGCTCTGTAATACTTGAGCTACTATTCCCGTACTTTTGCAAAATACATTTACTGTATTGTGCACTGTCATTCATTTAAGTCTCATTAAGGATCTAATGATGAATCAGTTCAACACAGCTGAAAAAAAGCTGCAAAAATATGCCACACATCCATGCAGCAGTACAGTACTTTCAGCCTCGCTGGCTGTAAAACTTACTTAATGATTTCAGTGAAGGATTAATCGGAGACACTGAGCACTGTTTACAGTGTTTCTTTGTTGTTGTATTTCAAGGAATAGCCTACAGCAGTTTCCAGGCACTCCAACAGGGAGCCTGCAGAGAGGAAGTCCAGCTCCACTTCGATGAATTTGATGTAAATGGCGAAACGCTGAGATAAGTTGTCACCCTCGTGACCTGCGCTGCAGTTCTCCTGCAGGAAACAGGTCACAGCCGAGGGTTCCCCGGGGACGTAGTGTTTGACTGAACCCTGAAAGTGCTGGAAGAGACACTGCTGAATGGTCCTGTCCTCGGCTATCCCTAGGTAGCAGTATGTGACTTTAGCTCCAGTCCTGTCCCCTCTCCCCGCTCCGCCTCCTCCATCCGCCTGACTCTGCACGCCGTTCTCCGACTTGCAATGAGGTAAGCTGACATCTTCACTGTCGCTCTGAGGAGAGGTCTGAGCGGCGTCCTCTTCCTCCTCCTCGTAGCCGATAGCGTAGAGTCCGTACGTCTTGGGGATGTCCCCAGGAAGGAGGTAGTGGTAGGAGCCTTTGCTGCTGCTCGCTGCCCTGGAATGGGACACGGGGATCCAGTCCACCTCCATGTGCAGCTCCAGACACCGCGCCTCGCTGATTGTGATGTCCAGGAACTTGTAGTAAACATTCTTCCAGTTCATCTTCTGGACTTTGGTCATGACGATTCTGCCCTCGGGTTTCTCCGGGTTGAAGTACTCACGGAGCCTCTTCCCCAGCGGGACCTGCGAGCTGATCTCGGCGTAGTGGTAGCGCACGTCTTCGCGCCACCGCGTGTTGTAGCCCACGCCGAAGATGGCCAGCTTGTTGGAGAGGTGGAGGCGCGAGAACTCTGTCCACGTCTGGAAGTGCTCCCATTTCAGCTGCACCGACTCCAGGATACGCATCACAGTCTGCATCATGTCCCTTTTTCTGCAGAGAACAGAAGGTGCATACTTATGACATAATAATACAACACATTCAACAGAATGTTGGAGAGTGATTTATTAGCAAAGACTGGTCAGTCAAAGAAAAAACAACCTGTTGAAACGATGGCTTTAAATACTCTTTACCTGTTTCACATGTATTGGTTTTGTCTGGAATGAAACCAGATCATTTTAAGAAGTTTTAAAGTAGAGGCACCTCAGGTAATATTTTAGCATTAAAGGGGACATATTATCCCCCTTCTCCACCTTTTCAAACAGTCCCCTGTGGTCTAAATGAAACATCTGTGCTGTGCTTTGGTCAAAATATAACATGAATCAAGCACCAGAGGAGTTTTGTGACCCTGTATAAACCAGCTCTCTCAGAACGCTCCATTTTGGTGTGTGTGTCTCTTTAAATGAAATGAGCCCCCTCTGTAGCGAGAATAAAAATGAGTGCTAAGACAGCCAGTGGCCGAGGACAGGGAGGAGGCAGGAGAGGATTGAGGGGACGTCTACTGAATGTAAGACGATGTAACCCGGAGGATTTGAATGTTACGGCTTTAACATTTTTATACAAAGAGCCCTTTACAATTCAGTAAGTGTCACACACATGACAGTGTAGGCAGTCATTTGTAATTATAAGGCTGATAAATTGGCCATTGTTGACTTACTGTGTTTGTTCTGACAACTCGGCTTGGATCTGCAGAGCTCTGTGTTTAGGCATCTGAATTTCCTCTGGAGAGAAAAAAAAACACACACATATTAGTTCAAACCCCATTCATTAATTTGCCTTCCACCCATCCACAGCTGGCTAACACACTTACCTGTCTCCATGTCTCCCTCATGGAAGGCTGAGTCCAGCACCTGGTTGCACCAGTCCTCCTGGGAGTAGTCCCCCAGCGTGCTGCCGTCAGACTCCATCTCCTGGTAGAGGCCGCTGCTGTTGATGAGCACGGGGGCACAGCTCTGAGAGTCCCAGCCTCCCTGACCGAACACCTTCTCCAGCTGCTCGATGGTGTAGCTGCTCTTCCTCTTCCCGATGCCGTGCTCCTTCACCCGGCTGTAGCAGCGCCGCAGAGTCTGGATGTGAGGGATAGATCTTCAGTAATGTGACTAACAAATATTTCTGCATTCTATGTTTTCGATAGTAATATGTAAGATATCCTTAATTAGCCCTACGAGGGGAATTCAATTTTTTACACTGTTGTTGAGACATTCTACACACACAAAGGCTGAAATACACACATGCACAAACAGGATCCTATGGACATGCACTGAAATACAGATGTCAGCGAGCACTCCTGAGCTGGTGGGCATTTGGTGCTTTGCTCAAGGACACCTCTGCACCATCAACTGGCACCTCTGCAGCTTCCAGACCGATGTCCACTGTATAATTTTCAGAGAAATAATGATTACACTGTCTGAAAGAAATTACAAGTGTTTATCACTCTTGACTTGAATCTTTCTCCCTTTCTGCTGAACGGAAATCTATCATTTTTTAATATCGACATATTTTCAAACAAGTTACAATCTATTAAGTCTATCATCGTTGTGATTAAATGTTAGCTTGTGAAGAAAATTGCATGAATTAAAAATCAGGGTTTGACTTAGATATGCTTTACACCTTGTAATCAACACATTAATTCAGAACTGAGGCATTTATACATACTGTAGGTGTCCATTGGTCAAGTATAAATGTACACCCTTTAGCCAATCAGAATCAAGTATTCACTCAAACATTGTTTAATGATGTATTGTCTACATAAGAGATGGCTATTCTGCATCCCTGTTTGAAAAGTGAGGTTTGCCCGGGGATGTCACACTGGGTCAATAAAGGGGGTTTCAGTGCAGGTTCCTGAAGTGAGAATGACAAAGAGATGCTTAGAATAAAGGATGTGGGGGGGTCCAGAAACATGTAGACCTACAGGGGCACAGAAGTTATGCTTCCCTTCTTGTTGTGCCAAACTCACAGTGGTCAAGTCAACAGACAGACACCTGTGTTATTAGCCTATCAGGGCACTGTGCATATTAAAATGTACCTGGTCTGGACATGTTAAACCTCCATCCCCTGCCTCTCCAGCTCAGTGTCAGTGCTGCTGTTAGAATAGTTGGAGGTGCTGCAGCAGGTGTATGATGATGTAGTCTATCGTGCATGTAGCCTACAGACGTGTCCTGATTTACCTTCATCCTCTCCCGGCACTGGGACGGGGTCCTCTCATAGCCCAGCTCTGACAGGGCTCTGGACACCCGCTCGTACATGGCAGGACCGGGGGCCTTACCGGAGAACACGGTGCCCGCCACCTCCAGCTGCTGCATCCGCGCCTCCGTCAGCCGCTCGTTGCCCCACACCGCGATGAGGGCGTTAGTCTCGGACGGGGTCCACGACATCCCCCGGCACGCCGTGAAGCTGTTGGAGGAGGATGAGGCCGCCGTCCGGCCCGTGGACCCCGAGCAGACGTTCAGAGGCGAGAAGCGGTTCGGGGTGGAGGGATTGGAGTGGTATTGATTGCTGTCACTCAGATCCTCGGACTCGGGGGATGGCACCTCGGTTTTTGGGATCTTTAACGGCGTCGTTATCTCTGGAGAGTGATCCGCGGTGCTGGACGCCGCCATGTTGGCTCTGTTGCTAAGGGGAGGGGGATGGAGGGTGACGTGCGGGGGTTTAAACTGGAGGCATGGAGAAAAATACGGCGTGGATCAGAGGGGTGATGCTGAGGTGGATGCTGGGAGACTTTGAGGTAAAAATAAAATAAAATAAATAGACTAACAAAAAATCATAATAAGCGTCTCTCATTGAGATGAGACTATCAGGCTGTATGTTAAAGAGACAGGAGCATTTTAAGATCAAAGTTCAAAAGGCTTACACCTGACTCATAATTTCCGGTATGATGACAACCATTCTGCATGAGAGTTTGGAAGATCAATTCATGGAAGAGGGCAGGTGTTTTAAGATATACTTTTTTACAGGAAACATTTTGACCTGTCATTAAAAAATAATAAATTTTTACTCCGTTGAAAATTATATTTTTCTGTTTGAGCTTTAAATTTCCATATTTTTTTTTCTGTTCTCTGTTGTGTGACAATAGGAAATATTAATTGTTTCTCCTTGAGTTCCATGCTTTAAAAGTGGAAACCTTTGGACTTCATTAAGCAGTCGGTATACTTCAGAAAAGAAAAACATTAAAACATTAAGACTGATGGAAAGTAAGAAAAAGGAAATGGCTCCACTTACTTTAAAATCTTAACAGAGATAGCCTACCATGTGTCAGGTGAGTTTGCAGGTTATCTTCAAATCAAATTAAAGTTTATAGCACATTTAAAATAACCAAAGTTGACCAAATGGTCGATACTGGCTTAAAACTGAGATGGGAGGGGTGGAGTGGGCAGGGTTGGGGAAGTGACGGATGAAGCAACAGAATTTTTCTATATGACGCCATAATGTAAATTTCTGACTTTGTATTAACGCTACCTGTAGTTTGACACATTATAGTATCAACAAAAGACAAGGAGGAGAACTTATACTGGCAAACAGAAAACATAATGGAGCAGTTTCATACAAGCATTGAGCTCGCGCTGGTCGCGTGTATATAGTCCATCTATGACATCACCATGACATCATACTCATTGGCTGTGAATTTCTCCTTCAGCTCAGCCGGGCTTCATGTAGAACATTTGCTGTGGGGCTGGCAGCAGAAAGTCCAGATAAAGTCAGAGTGAAAACATCAGCGGATTACATGCAGCTCGAGTTTTGTGCATGTGTGAAAGCACCATGTTTCTGTTTCTACATGTATGCCCAATAATTGTTTTGGGAAATGCATCTTTTGTGGTAAAAACTTAAACATGTTTCAAATCATTTCCAGACGCAAGCGTGAAATATTTTAACTTCATGTATATTTAACATGCAGAATTGTGCCAGATCAGCAAAGTTGACTTAATTTATTGAGTCTGTGGTGAAATTGAAAGTGTATTTTCAGGACTTAATATTACACATTATTAATAAAAAAAAGTCCATTGAGATTAAAAATCCCTTCTGAAAGAGAGACCTGGTCAAGGTAGCAGCCAACCAAAATCATAAACACTTTTTAAAACAAAATAAAATGACATGTGACACAGATCTCCCCCTCTGAATCTCTCTTGTTGTCTAACAAGTCTAACAGTCATCACTGGGCGCTGAGTGAGACCTCTTATTGATCTGGAGTGTATAATTGCTCATTTGATGGTCCGATTGATGGATTGTGTCATTGTTTACTTCATCCTCTCCATGACAATGTTTGATTGGTCTCCCTCGGGGACTACAGGCCCTACCAGCCGGCTCTGCCATCTGTCTGGTGTGTGACTGTGTGTGACTGTGTGTGTGTGTGTGTGTGTGTGTGTGTGTGTGTGTGTGTGTGTGTGTGTGGTCTGAAGGTCCTGACCTGGCCAAAGGGACAGTGAGATCTTCTCTGAATGAGATCTACACTCTAGCTGTCTGATAAAGGTCAAAGACAGGAAACAGCAGACGGTCTAACCTTTTCATGTCCATCAGATGTCAGGTCTGCTGTCAGGATCCAAACATGACTGAAGTTACTTTGAACATTCAGAACTGATCGACCCTCTAGATGTCTGGTGCATGTTTGTCCTGAAATAATTTAATTGCTACCATGCAAGAAAGTAAAAGTATCACTTTACAGTGAGACATGTTTGATTGTTACAGCAGGATATTTGTCACATTATAACTTTGATAACTTATTATGTTATAAACATTTCACGTCAAAATATAACAACTTTAAAGTTTTATGTCACCAGAACACAACTTGAACAAGTCCTACTCCCTGCTCGTGTTAAGAAAGGATAAGATCCTGCTGTTAATGAACATGGAGGATGATTGTGTGATAAGAATTTTATGGGTTGAAATTGTGGAATCTACCTTTAAGACATACTGTGTTGCCAAGTTAGGGAAGGGACATCACATAGCTTCTTGTCTTTATCCTTGAAGTTGGATTGAGCGATGCTTCTGGATGGATACCTCTAACCTAGCGCCTGCTTTCCTTTTGCCTCTCAACTCAACAGCAACGTGAGGGTTCTTGTGGACATTATTTTGCTCATGTTAGATAAAATAGTAGTCGTACAACCAGACTTTGTTAGGTTGATGTGTAGTTTGTAATAAACGACGAGCATTGGAAACCCCAGAAATGTGTGGTTGTGCACTTCTTGGACGCTTTCCAAAGCACTGATAACCAAGAGGCACGGACTAAGACCATTACAGTTATCAAACTAAGAACGATATGAAAATGCATTTAGCTTCATAGAGCAGAAAAAGCTCAACCAAGATCTGTAGGTAGACTGGAGGGAAACACACAGAGGCAGGGAGAAAATACAAGACAAGAAACACTGAGGACAACTACAAAATAAATCATGAAACACTGAAGACACAGAGGGAACTCAACGTAGATAAACACTAGAACCTAGAACACTGGGATAAGAAATACCAAAATAAAAACACTAGAAACTAAGCTAGGAAACGAGAACTACTAAAACAGGAAATATAAACTGAAAATACAAACTAGACCAAATCATGACAGTTTCTCATTGACCAGCTCTACAATATTGTAATGGACTTGAGCTTCTACAGCGCATTTCTAGTCTTCTGACTACTCAAAGTGCTTTTACACTGATGGTCACATTCACCCTTTCACACCACATTTACACACTGATGGTCACATTCACCCTTTCACACCACATTCACACACTGATGGTCACATTCACCCTTTCATACCACATTCACACACTGATGGTCACATTCACCCTTTCACACCACATTCACACACTGATGGTCACATTCACCCTTTCACACCACATTCACACACTGATCGCAGCGGCTGCAAAGTGTCTATCAGTATAACTTAACACGTTCATACTCGTTCACACACCGCTTACGTAGCCGCAGGAGCAATGTAGGCTTCAGTGTCCCACCCAAGGACACTTCCCTATCTGTAAATCTTTTAGTTACTAACCACATATCTGCATGGGAGCCCCTGAGCTCTCATGTCTTGTAGGTTCCTCAGGATTGTTTGTGGGGACGGGCTTGCTGCTATGGACCCCGCCCCCCTTCTAAATTGTGCATATCTAATTTTAAATCTAAGAAGCCAGAATTAGTTAAAACAGACAAAAATAGTCTGTGTGAGCAAGGCCATCCATAATGGGAGGAAAAGGGCCCAGCTAAAGTGGTGGGCCGCATGGGGTGCAGGTGGAGGGGCGCACAAAACATCAGCATCAAGGAACTAAAGGCAGAGACTGAATTATATTTAAAAGGGGGAGCTGAATGATGATAGGCTGACAACGAGGGAGGAACGCCATGTGATTGGATGGATGAGTACCGCTGATGAGACAGCTGATTGCCCAGTGACAGCCACAGAAAATGACAGCTCCAGAATGACAGCGGAAATGTGAGTGAGCGGCAGGCTAAGATGGCAAACGTAATCGCATACGATCCAACACGATAGATAGTATAAAATGATATCTGCAGAGTACCTAGCCATTCTATTCTACTCTACTCTATTCTATATTAAACATGACTCGACAGCTATTCTGTCAAGTCATGTTTCTGACTGCAGACCGGACCTTTTAAAATAAACTCAGTTTTTAGCCAGATGCTATTAGCATGCTCTTAAAGCTTCTATCAGTCGAGATCTCAATGAAAAGGCTCAGGATGTTAGAAAAAAATCAGCCTTTGGATTTACTGCCGGCACACTCAGAATCTCTGAGGTCAGGTCTTCTGTGGCCTCATTTGGGCTTTAATATTCCTGAAAGCACATCGGGAAAAAATAGTGCGGATCTGTGTTAATCTGCGTACCATCAGGAGACGGCCGTGATATTCTGGGGACATGTACGGACATAACTTAAAGGTAATGAGCCGGGACTTTATTTGCACATGTTAAGGATGCTCACTTCACCTTTCAGAGTGGGCCGGCTCGGCGAACGACTCGTGAATGTGAAGTTTTGAGAAGAGACTTTTTTAGTAATTAGAGAGCGGTTGTGACTATAATCCTGGTTCATACATCAGAGGGATGATGTGAAGATGTAAGTGATTGCTAAGAGATTGGATTTGACAGAGATGGATGAAGTTTACAGCGGTGACAAAGTGGTGAAGTTTCTCTTCATCTGGAGTACACTCAATATGTTCCTTTCTGCTTGATTTAACATGGGAAAGATGTTTGTTAAATTATTGCCACTGGGTTGCAGATTAAAAAAAAATCATCCAAAATGCATTGACAGGAGGTTTAAAATTCAACCTTTGTATTTCTGAAGGCTGAATGATTAATCCCCCCCCCCCCCCCCCCAGTGGCCTGATGGATTTATTCCTATCTCCATGCTCATCTTTGATTGGGTCACATCTGCTGCAGATGATCCTCAGTATTAATGATGGAGCCGGAGATGCCCTCAAGTGTTTTCATTTATCTGAGTCTATCAGTCCTCCAAACTCATTACTTTACATGAAGTGACACCGTGCTTATGAAGTTCAAATGCAGCATGTCACCTTGGATCTGATGATTTCTTTTCACCTGACAAATGACAAAGAAAGCTCCTGGTTCAATATAAGTAGAAAAATAATTTGACAGACGCATTAAAACAACTTTG